TCCTCCTCCTCCTCCTCCTCCTCATCTCCTCCTCCTCCTCCTCCTCCTCCTCCCTCTCTGAGCCTATCCCCCGCCCCCCAAAAAAGCGTTGCCCCTGACCCTGACCCTGACCCTGGCGCTGCCCCCCCGGACGGCCGCGGGGCGCGCGGCGGCCCCCCGACGGGGGGGGCGGCGGGGGGCCTCCTCGTCGTCCAGGCCCTGCAACTCGGAGGCGCGGCACAGCGGCACCTCGCGGTGGGCCAGGGGGGGGCCGAGGAGGGGCAGGGAGGGACAGGGAGGAGGAGGAAGAGGAGGAGGAAGAGGAGGAGGAGGAGGAGGAGGAGGAGGAGGAAGCAGGAAAGGAGGGGAGGGGAGGGAGGAGGGCAGGGCAGGGGAGGAGAGGGAGGGAGGAGGAGAGGAAGAGGAGGGGGGAGGGAGGGGCTCCACGCTGCAAAAGAGCAATGGCGCCAGGGGGTTGGGGCGAGGAGGGAGAAGGGAGGTTGGAGGGAGGTTCGAGGGACTTCAATGCCTGGCTGGCGCATGCTCTGTGCCCTTGCGGGCCCACGGTCTTGTTCAATCTCTTCACGCCCCTCGTGTTGCGGCTGCGCCAGCCAGGCGTTATTTCGTAATTCCTTGAGGCCTCGCACGGTGGTTTTTCACGACGCAACAAGCTCGCGCTTCTTGTATGGCCAACGTAGAACGGAAGGAGTCTCGTTCGTTCTCCTATTCGGGCTGAGTCCATTCTGAAGCAACCAGTGGCTCTGGCTGGTCTGAGCCCACTCTGGCTGAAGCAACATGCGGCTCAGGCTGAGTCCACTCTGGCTGGCCTGTCTCCACCCCCTCTCCATGCTGTGCGCACGCACCGCCGCAGCAGCGAAAGCCACGTGCCAAGGCGCGAGTCCGAAAACTGCGGGGTCGCGCTCAGAAAACCCCCAAGGGAGATCCGACGTCGAGATTTGTTCAATGCGGGATCCCTGGACATCTCGACCCACTCCCCGGGGACCGGCTTTGCGCATCCTGGGCCGTGTTTTGACAGTCCCGCGGGGCCCGGCGAGGGCCCCCCAGAGGCCGAAGATTGTGTGACAAATCTGCGCCTTGAGTTTGTCAGAGCGTAGGATCTCTTTTTTTTCGCGGCGCTCGGGTCGGAGGGCTCAAGCACGGGCGAACGCACGGGCTAGGCCGCCCCAGCAGCAGCTCACGCAACTGGGGCAAGAATGGGCGCCATGCCAGCGGACAGGGAATCTTCGGGGGAGGACAGGCGAAAAATCTCTGGGCCTCTCTGGGCCTGGCGTGCCTTCAATCGCAGGCCTCGTGGGGATCGCTGGTGCTGTGCGGTGGAGCTGCATCCCGCGCCCCGCGGAGGCGCCACGCGCGGGGGGGCAGGCGCGCTGCAAGGGCGGCCTCCCGCCCCTGCAGGTCAAGTACGGGATCGAGCGGGGGAGGAAGGGGATGGGGAGAGAGGAGGAGGAGGAGGAGGAGGAGGAGGAGGAGGAGGAGGAGGAGGAGGAGGAGGAGGAGGAGGAGGAGGAGGAGGAGGAGGAGGAGGGGGAGGAGGAGGAGGAGGAGGAGGAGGAGGGGGAGGGAGCACCAATTGAAAACAAAGGCGAGGGCAAGGGCCGCACGCACGGCTGCGCGGCCCTCCAGGACCGCGCAGCCCTGCCGCCCCCCTTCTGCGGAGCGGCCTCGGCGGGGGCCCCGCCGGGCTCCCCAGGAGAGCGGCCCGAGCTCGAGAGGCTGGCGGAGACCCCGGCGGGGCCGCCGGCAGCCCGTGGCGAGGAAGAGCGTGACGGGGACGCCCAGCCTGAAGTCGGGCCTGTCCCCCTACATAGGGATTTTCGACGAAAAATAAAAAGTACCCCCAAAATAGCAACAAAAGTAGTCCCAAAATACTCTGGGGACTATTTTTTAGTATTTTCTGACCTTTTGGGGGCATGTTTGTGGTATTTTTTTATTGTTCGTCTAAATTCCCCCTGTAGGGGGACACGCCCGACATAAGGCCAGCCTCTGGGAGCCCAGGAGCGCGGCACGCCCAGCACGGCGGATCGGACCACCGCGCAGGCTGCGGTCATGGCAGCGGGGCCCCGTGCGTCCCGGTCCGAAGGGCGCGCGGGAGGTGCAGGAGGCGGCGCGCGTGTGCGGAGGTCGTCAACGGCAGCGCGGCCGAGGGAGGGCGCATGTTGGCAGATGGCAAAGGCAGTGGAGATGCTCGGTGGATGAAAGATGGGGTCCTGAGGGGTGGGGCCCTAAGGATGGGAAGAGATCCAAGGGTGGTTTTGCATTGTTTGAGGCGTCCTCAGAATCCCATCCCTCAGGACCCCATCTTTAAACCACCGAAATGCCGTTCGACACGAGCCTGCAGGTTCACAGAACCGCCGCCGTGGAGGGCGCCGTATGCTGGGTCTTCCCAGGCAAGGGCTTCGGTAGTACACCAGGGTGTGCTCCAGGGGCGCACGAAGCGATGTACTGGGTGGGTGAAAATGCTTGGTGGGTGAAAATGCCAAATTGGGTGTGGGGGACGCATGCGGGCGGTCCCTTTTGGGGACCACGAAACGTTTTACTGAGTTTGTGAAAATGCCAAATTCGGTGTCGGGGACGCATGCGGGCGGCCCCACTAGGGGCTTCGGTTGGGCTCCCCATGGCGCCACGAAACGCTGTACGGGGTGCGTGAAAATGCAAAAGTGGGTGTGGGGGACGCATGCGGGCGGTCCAACTGGAGGGTTCGGTGGGGCTCCCTATGGGGCGACGAAACGCTGTTCTGAGTCAGTGAAAATGCAAAATTAGGAGCGGTGGACGCATGTGGGCGGTCCCACTGGGGGCTTCGGTGGAGCTCCCTATGGGGCCACGAAACGCTGTACTGGGTATGTGAAAATGCCAAGTTTGGCGTGGGGGGCGCATGCGGGCGGTCCCACTGGAGGCTTCGGTGGTGCTCCCTATGGGGCCACGAAGCGTTGTACTGGGTGAGTGAAAATGCCAAATTAGGCGTGGGGGGCGCATGCGGGCGGTCCCACTAGGGGCTTCGGTGGAGCTCCCTATGGGGCCACGAAGCGCTGTACTGGGTGGGTGAAAATGCCAAGTTGGGTGTGGGAGACGCATGCGGGCGGTCCCACTGGGGGTTTCGGTGGAGCTCCCTATGGGGCCACGAAACGCTGTACTGGACGTGTGAAATTGCCAAATTGGGTACGCTCCTCATCAGACAGGTTTACGGTTTGTTCGCGTCGCGATCTCGCGGGCGTTGGTTTCTGACGCCGCGTGGATCGTTCATTCGTGAACGATCGCTGCTCTCCGATAGCGCAGATCGTTAGACATCGGCCGATCCTGGGCCACTGGCGGCGTTGAGCCTGAAAGGCCCGCGCTGGGGTCGCCGCCGCGTCAACGCGGCGCAAATCTACCGTAATGTGTAATGTCGGCAAGTCTGTGAATCAGTAGTTTTTTTCCCCAGCCAGGAAGGAATGGGTCCGAAGTGCGCTGCCCGACGAAAACCCGTCTGGTTGGGGGCAGCAGCAGGCTTCAAGATGCAGTGAGTGAGGACTCCACATGGCGGCACGAAGTGCGCCATGGTCGTTTTCATAGTTGGCATGCCAACATGCACGCCCATTGGCAGCCACAGCGTACGGCACGAGCCTCCGAGCAAGCCTTTGTAATCCATGCCAGCAGTCTCGAAAGAGCATGCCAAGCACCACTCCATGCTTGAAACCTACACTTAGGTCGGGCATGTCCTCCTACATGAGCATGTTCGGACGAAACATAAAACATACCCCATCAATACTCAAAGTCTTAATACTAAAACATCGTGCCCCTACTATGTTTTACACTATTATGAAGATTTCCCCTGTAGAGGGGCATGCCCGCCATAAGCCTACACTCGATCATGCTGGTGGCGAGTCGAGGTGTGATCTGGGTCCACACTGTATCTCGCCTTCGCCCGTGTGCCACCCTCGAGGCGCTGCGCCGAAAGGGCACCAACCTCCAAGCTGGCTGCTCCCACGCACGTCAAGTGAGGTAGGCACTTCTGCTAGTTGTTTGTCGACCTGTACAACAAATAAGCAGACCTAAACATGCTGCAACGTAAAGTAGAGCTATATGCGCTGCAGATGCTCCGATACCGATTGGTTTTGATGTTTGCCCAGCTGGGTGATGTCGGGGAGTTGGGTGCGAACTCGTCTGTTGTCTGTTGAGCCCTTCACATACGGGATGTCTGAGGGAGGGAGGGGGGATGATGACGAGGAGGAGGAGGAGGAGGAGGAGGAGGAAGGAGGGAGGTGGAGAAGGAGGAGGAGGAGAGAGGAGGAGGGAGGGCTCGAACTTTCGTAGTCGCTCGGGGTCAGTTGTTCAGCCGTTTGAGGCTCGCAGCTTGTTGACAGCATCCGCGAGCGGTCCTCGCTCCCATGGACATGCGCTTGTTTACGCCGTCACTGGGCGAAACTAGCCCCTCCCCCTCCCTCGTCCATCCGCGCCCCTGCTCTCCCCCTCCCCTCGATCCCTCCCTGCCTCCCCTCCTCCCGGGCCCGATCAACCAGGGCGACGCGCATGCCATCCTGGTGGATCGCAGGGGGGGGATCACCTGGCTGCTGGGGACCCGCTGCGCTCACCCCGCCAGATCTTGTGCCAGCCGCCAGGCCGAGGCAGGAGCCCAGAGGGAAGCGCCTTCTGGTGGTACGCCAGCGCGTCGTATCTGCCGTGGTCCAGCACGCCGTCTGCCACGAGAGGAGGAGGGCGAGGAGGAGCAACAGGCAGGGATGGCACTATAGTGCTGTCCCCGAGGGACGGGGGCCGCCTCGAACCCTGCAACTTAGACCTGCGCACCGAAAGCCGAGCCGCACCTTTAAAATGCGGCGCCGATTTCGGTGGGCGGCCGGGCTCCCGGGTCCCAAATTCCCAAATCCGGGTTTCGGACTGATTTCTGTAGGCGAGCAGGTTCCAGGTTTCTCTGCTCCGGATCCAGAGCTGCCAGCGTTGTAAGGTTCCCAGGTCTTCGAATTCTTGCTTGCGGCCACGTACCCAGGTGCTTGCGGCCACGGCCATAATACTGTAGATAATGAGTCATGAAGCACATATCAGACAGTAAAGAGCATAGTTGTAGCATTAACAATCATATGGTAGTCCACATCTGCATAAACACAGATATATGTATACAATGTACGCGTGTTTGTAACTTGAGGCCGTCAGCGTTAGTTTCGACTTGTGTTTGCATATGCAACGTTAGTGTCGACTTGTGTTTGTGCATGCAACATGTCCAAACACATGTCGATCCGAACGCTGTGTGAGTGATATAATGAGGTGGAATGAGATTGGATAGAGATAGCGAGGCAGACAGAGAGATAACGAGAGAGAGAGAGATAACAAAACAAAGAGAGGGAGAAACCGTAGGAAAACTGATACACACATATCTGTAGGCATGTAGATACACATCGACATACATAGGTAAACAGTAAGAGAGAGAGAGAGAGAGAGAGAGAGAAAGAGAACGAGAGAGAGAGAGAGAGAAAAAACAAAATAGAGAGAGAGAGAGAGAAAGAGGTGCTTTCACAGACGGGGTCTTGTTGGAGACTGGCAGAGAAGACGAAACTGGCGGGGCCGACCGATCTCGTTAGGCGGACGGGTTCCAAGGTTCGCGGTGCTGGGTGCTGGCCCGATTTCGGTGGGGGGCCAGTCTCCCAGGTTTTAGATACTGGGTCCGGGTTTCATGGTACGGTGGGGTTGTCAGATTGTCCAATTGTTCTTGGTGTTTGCGACCAGGGTTAGAACGAGAGTATACATAATGGAGCGTGGAGAAAACACATGCGAGAGCAAGCATGATAGTTACGCAGAAAGGGATATTCAATCGAGGTTCAATGACAGTTTGTAAATCGACCCGTGAGTCTACAAAGTAAGCATGGCAGTAACACAAAACAGAGAGACAATGATCGAAATAGTATAGGGCGATAGAAGGAGAGAGTGTGAGAGAGAGAATGACAGAGAAAGAGATAGAGTGAATGTGTGCGACCACTGTTCGATTCATCATTGAAGAGCTGCATGGGGATTCCAGGATGACAAAGAATGCATGCACATCCGCCACTGTGCCTGCGTGGGACGGGCGTGGTCGCATGCTCCCGTGGTCCTCCTGGGAGTAGGTTACAAAGTGGCCGACCCCCCCCCCGCATCGCGAGCGGTGTTAAAAGGTCGCCCCCTGAAGTTGCTCCCTGGCGCTCTCTTCGGCCTCCAGACGACCAAGATGGCTTCCAGGACGACTTCCAAGACGACCATGACGACACGAACACTGCTCAAGGTGGCCTGGGGCGACTCAAGAGGCCCTCAAGACGGCCTCCAGACGGCCCCAGAAGCCTCCAAGACGACCCAAGACGGCGCCGAGAGGTCCTCCAGGAGAGCCCGAGGAGGCCCAAACCACTGCTTTCCATTGGTTTCCTTTAGCGTTTTGAAGAATGTGCATGGTCCTGTCCTACCGCCTGCTTGGGCGTGTCCGACCGCCCAAGGCAGCCCAAAGAGGCGTCCGAGATGGCCCCACGGCGGCGCAAGAAGCCCCCCCAAGGGAGGCCAGAGTCGGCCCAAGAGGATCCCAAGATCGCCCAACGTGCCCTCCTCCTCCTCCTCCTCCTCCTCCTCCTCCTCCTCCTCCTCCTCCTCCTCCTCCTCCTCCCCCTCCTCCTCCTCCTCCTCCAACACTCAAATGGCCCAGAGACGCCCCCAAGACTGGGCCCGAGGGCACCACACGGGCTACGACCCCCCTGGGGCCATCCAAGAGGCTCCCAAGAGGCAAACGCCCCCAACAACGCCCTTTGAAGGAACAGCGCATGTAAGCTCGCGCGTTGGTTGAAACATGCTGAGGCTCTCGCATTTTTGGGTTCCGCTTGCCCAGGGCGGCCCGAAAAGGTCTCCAAGATGGTTCCATGACGGCCCGCGAGGCTCCCAAGAGGGCCACCATTCGGCCCAAGAGGACACCAAGATCGCCCAAGAGGCTCCCAAGAGGGCCTCAAGTCGGCCCAACAGCGCGCCAAGAGTATAGCAAGACGGCCCAGAAAGGCCCCAAGGCGGACCCCGAAGGCGCAAGACGGGCCGAGAGCCACCTGCGAGGCCCCAGGAGGCGTCCACGAGTGCTCTACCAGGCCCCCTGGAAGATCCCGAGGAAGCTAAAACCACAGATTTCCTCTGGGGTTTTTAAGGGGGTCGAGGTTCTCGCTTGTTCGGGCTTCCGATCGCCCAAGACGGCCCCAAAGGCCCCCCCGATGTAGCTCCAAGACAGCTCAACGGATCCCCAACATGGCCCCGAGTCGGCCCAGCTGGGCCCCGAGATCGCCCACGAGGCCCCCCGGATGGCCCCAGGGCGGCCCTGAATAACCAGCCTCGAACTTATCCCTACCCCTAAGATGGGCGAGCAAAAAGCGAGGACAATCTCAGGGATAGGCCCTCGGAAACTGAGGGAACCCTTAAGATCGGCATCGAGGTGAGGTGATGTCAAACATAGGTATAGGGATATGTCTCAAACTGGTAACCGCAGCGCTCCGAGAGCGCACCAAAGAGGGCCCCGAGGAGTTCCCCGAGACGGCCATCGAGCGCGCCAGACGAGCCGAGGGCGGCCCACGGAGCCCCAAGAAGCCTTCGAGAGGTCCAAGGAATCATGTTGCTCCCATCGACTCCCCCCCCCCCCGCCCCAAGGGGCCCCCTAGAGCCCCCCAAGAGGCCCCAGGGGAGCCCAATACGCCGCCAAGGAGCCCCAAGGCGCTCCCAAGAAGCCCCCAAGAAGCCCCCAAGACGGCCCCAAGAGGCACCAAATAGCGCTCCAGGGCCGGCGGAATGAGCGAAGCGATTGAATAAGTTGCTCCCATCGTACTTAAAGACCACATGCCAGAAGTGGTTTCGAGCGCCCGGAGAAGTGCCGAACGGGTGTCGAAACAGTTGAAGGGGCCCTGGGGCACACAAAAAAATAGACACAGATAGCAGGAGTCCCCGTATTTTCCCATATTTTCTGGGTTCTCGTCTTCCCCCCACCTCCCACATTTTCCCATATTTGTTCTGGGGATCGACGATAAATTGTGTCTGTGTGTTTTCCCCAGTGTCGGACGAATGTCTCGGAGGGGCCCGACACGTGAAAAACCTAGAGTTTCGGTACTTTGCTGGTGCTCCACATTCTCTTTCTGGTGATCAAGGCGAAAGTAGGTTGGAACATCATAACCCAGGAGGCCACCAAAGAGGCCCCCCAAGAGGCCCACAAGAGGCTCACAGGAAGCACCCAGGAGGCCCCAAGAAGGTGGCCCATGGGTCCCTCTCCTCCTCGTCTTGATCGTTTCCATCTCCGCTTCCTCCTCCTCCTCCTCGCAAGACGAGGTCGAGATCACGACCCTTCCCAATTCAGACCACTCGCTGCACTGCCGCCGTGCGTGGACTCAACCTCCTTCCTACCGCGCCGACGAGAACAAGGTCGAGTTCACGGCCCGTCCTAATTAGTTCAGACCATTCGTCGGATTTGCGCTGTTCCTACACTCGGTCTCATTCCTGCTGCGCCGTTGCACAGGCCTGGTGGGTTTGCCGCAGGCAGCTGGATACGAAATACATATGTCAGATGACACGGAGCAAGGTTGGGTAGAGAAAGAGAGATAGGGAGAGAGAGAGAGAGACAGACGGAGAGACAGAGAGAGAGAAGTAGGAAACAAAAACATTGGTCGGCGTTGGGTAGCACATATTCCAAACATCAACCACACGAACCGAACTACCGCAGCAGACCAGAAGTGGCTCGATCAGTTAGCTGCGAGGGGGATCGCACTTGCCGGGGCGGCCTAGCCCGGGCATGCAGAAGAGGAACTTCGAGATGTAGGCGATGATGAACAACTTGACCTAAACTCCCTCCTCTCTGAGGCGGCCCTCGGGCTCACGGCCTGGTGTGGTAAAACTTCCAGGGTGGCCGCGCGTGGCACGAACCGCTGAACCGGCACGGTTGATCCGGCACGAACCGATCGCTTGAACCGCGTCACTGGCTGAAACGGCCAACCACCTGAGCGGGCTGCACCAGAGAATCGGTTGAACCGTTCTGCGGCAACTCATGGGAGCCTTCCATACCATCTTGTTGGCTCTTGCGAATCGACGCGGATCGACGCTAAATCGACGCTAATCGACGCCCACCGACGCTCATCGACGCTAAAAACGCACTGTCTCATCGACTACCAGACGCCAGTCGACGCGGATCCGCACGAAAGGCAGAAGCACGAGAGCACACAAGGCTCCCAGGATTCGCCACCGAAGGACAGGCCGAGAACCGAAGGGAAGCGGCCGAGCTGAGGACGAGAGGGGGAGACCGAGAACACCACGAGGGAGGAGGAGGGAGGAGGAGGAGGAGGAGGAGGAGGAGGAGGAGGAGGAGAGTGGAGTGGGAGGAGGAGGAGGAGGAGTGGGAGGAGGAGGAGGAGGAGGAGGAGGAGGAGGAGGAGGAGGAGGAGGAGGAGGAGGAAGAGGAGGAGGAGGTGGAGGAGGAGGAGGAGGGGGAGGTGGTGGAGGAGGAGGAGGTGGTGGAGGAGGACGAGGAGGAGGAGGAGGAGGAAGAGGAGGAGGGCGACAGCACAACGGCGAGGCCTCCCGGGGCAGTCCTGGCAGAGAAACAAAAAAACGCATACACATGAACTTTCAAAACATAAAGGAGCATAGCATTTTTTAACAGAAAGGTAAACATTTTTAAAACATAAACATAAACCTTTTAAGCATAAAAGAGCATACGCTTTTGTAGGGCATCAAAAAGAGCATAACGTTTTGTAGGGCATAAAAAAGAGCATACCTTTTCAGAGCATAAACATAACAAAAACACATAAACTTGTGTAGGGCTCCGCGCGGACTTCGCGGATCTGCGCTGGACCCCCCTGCCAGGCGCGCGGAGCGCGCCAGGGGCGGCGCCGGAGGCGCCGCGGGGGGGGGGCACAGCCCAGCACGAAATGAAAGAAACCCGCGCGCAGCGCCTAGCGTTTATGTTTGCGTGTGCCGTTTCGGAACAGGCCGCCCGGGCAGTCGGAGGGCGGAGGGGCGGCGCCGAGGTGGCGGGACCGCCTCTGGCTGCTCGGGGTCAGGAGGCAACTACTCGGAGGTGTTCGTCGGAAGGATGAAAGAGGATTAAGCCCCATAAAGGGGGGGCTGTTGCGCCAGAATGGGCCTCGGATCAAGCGGGAGATTGAGCCGGATTAAGCGGGACTAAGCGGGACTGGGCCGGATTCAGCGGGATTAAGCGGGATTAAGCCGGATTGAGCGGGACTTCGGACCAGGTAGGGGGCCACATGCGAACCCTACCCCTACCCCCAACGATTTCTGAGGGGGAGGGTGGGGTTCACTTCGCCTGGGAGCTCCCGAACGGAGTGAACCCCACCCTCCCCCTCAGCAATCGTGGGGGGTAGGGGTAGGGTTCGCATGTGGCCTCCTACCAGGGCTAAGTCAGAATTTGACCTCCCAAGAGTTGCATCCGAATCGGGGGGCCGGTTGCTGCCAGCCGGGGCTACCGGGGGGGGGGGGGCTGCGCAGGCGACCCGCGGCCTCTCACCAGCCGGGTGCCCCCGCCCCGTGGCCCCTGCTCCCGGGGACGGCGTGTGGGGGAAGCTCGAGGCCACCGCGGCTCTCGGCTATGGTTGCAGTAGGGGCCCGACCACAGGAAACCCTGAGACCCAAGCCTGAGACCCCAGGACGTCCATCGGATTTTGGCGTGGGAGCGTCGCGCTGTCCATAGCAAAACCTTCGAGACCTGAGAGAAACCCAGGGCACCCTGGAGGCAAGCAGGGTGTGTCTTGGCATGGGTCTCCACTGTAGCCCGCACCTCCGCTCGTGCACGCGCGCCGCCGCCATGCCCCCTCGAATCTGCCAGGTGAGGTGGGATGGGGGAGTGGGGGAAGGGCGGGAGGGAAGGGATACGGTGGACACACAGGATTTGACATCGTGCCACAGAACATCTCGGGCCCCACGCTTCGTCGATCCCTCCGGGCCCTGGAGTGCCTCAGCTCTTCTCTGGGTCCCTGAGGCCATCGGAGAATCAGACAATTCCGTGGGGCACCTGCCGGCAGGCTGTTTTTGTGATGTGACGTGCCTGCCGCAGGCGAGCGATAGAGAGAGAGAGAGAGAGAGAAAAAAAAAAAAAGAGGGGCACGTGGGGGACGGGTTCGGGCGGAGAGGGGAGAGGAGGGGAGGGAGAGGGGAGGGAGGAGTGGAGAGGACAGACAGGAGGGAGGGGAGGGAGGGGGAGGGAGGGGGGGGAGGGAGGGGAGGGGAGGGAGGGGAGGGAGGGGAGGGGAGGGGAGGGGAGGGGGGGGAGGGGAGGGGATGGGGAGGGAGGGGAGGGGAGGGAGGGGGGGGAAGACAGGTGCCAGGCTGCGCTTGCCGAGAGCCTCCTGTGCAGAGGCAGGGGCGAGACTGCACGTGCGGCGCACGGGCGAAGAGCGCCTCAGCTCAGAAGGGCCGAGCGATGGCGGATGCGCTGGGCAAAGCATGCGCTGCATAAGATGACGAACCAACAACACACACCCATACAGTCGGGGCGTTGACTTAAGGAACCCTAAATAAGGAACGAGGCCCCTTTTTTCCATCAGTTAAACTTCGATGTCCCATCGAAAACGTAAGGGAAACCTGAGGCAAGCTGTGAAACACTTAAGGAACGCGGAGCCCCTCCCCAACCAAAAGGGTTCCTTCTTCAGGGCCCCGACTGTACCCATAGGGGGATCCATCGGAGAGGGCTATGGGTGCGTGTTGTCGGATGGGGGTCCCCGCTCGAACGGGAGCGTTCCCCAGGGTCCGACAACCCGCACCCATACCCATAGCCAGTCCTCCTCCCAACGACCCCCCTATGGGTACGGGTGTGTGTTGTTCGCTCGTCATCAAAAGGTCCGTCCGTTCCCGTCAGGACGAGGCACTCCACGTGTTTGCGACACTCCCCTTGTCTTAGCGACCGTAAGGACGTGCCGTTGCAAGCACCAAGGCGGATTCCATTGATCGAGGGCACCAGCGCGGTGCCCAGATGGTGCTGAACACAAGAAGAACGGTGCAAACAATTCCACCGTTATGTGCTTCCCACCCTCCGTCCAGGAACCGTCATGAAGATGGCGAAGAACACCATCGCAATGTGATCTGGCCATGCGGCAAGCAAAACTAAAAAAGAACGTCACCATGCGGAGCTGCATACTGCAACTATCAAGATGCCTTCGAGCTGACACCGCTAGTTACCGCCTGGTATCCTTGCTTCCTCCCCGCTCGCTTCCTAAAGCCCACGCGACCCAGCACATCAGCATGGCGCATGTGTGTGCGTGTGTCAAATTTGGCCAGTGCCGACGAAGAATCTCCGACGTGCTTTGGAAGGCCCCAGAGAAGCACAGTTTGCCTGCATTCCGCTGTTTGCCCTGCCACGTCAGGGGTACCTCTCCGTAGATGGGTTCCGAGGAATCTCGCACGTTGTCGTCCTCGAGCCCGTAGCCTTACTACTCCAGGGTATATCTATTCTGACGGGACCCCGTGCGCTCCGAAACACTTGCGGGGCTCGTCACATGGCTTTCCCAGAAAGGATCCCGTGGTTGCGCGGCCCAGGATGCACAAGAGTCAACCGTTCAAGACGGTCCAGGAGGCCCCCACTACTATCGTCCCGAGACATCCCGAAGGTGGCCAAAAAACGCTCCAGATGCTCCAAACACGGCCCCAAGAGGAGACCCAAAGGTGGAACTCGAACTGGCATCAGAAATCCTCCAACCCAAGATGGCCCTCCACGAGACGACCTGGAGGCCCCCAAGAGACCCCCAAGAAATCCCAAGGTGCATGTAAGCGGCCTCCAGGCGGCGGGGTGAGCCGAAAATCATTTGATTATCCTTTACACTCCTCTTCATACCGGAACTTCTGGTCTCTCTTTCACATGTTTTCTTGGTCTTCCTACCACGTCTGCACTGCTGCATTTCCCGCTTCCTCGACATTCTTCTGCGAATCCCTGTCCGTGTCACCAATGCTGGCACGCAGCCTCCAGAAATCGTGTCCTCCTTGCCGAAAATGGACGCCGGCGCCTTCCCACCCAGCTTACGAAGCACGACGCGCGCTCCAGCACGAAGCACTTCTCACGCTCGAGGTTGCAGTCTGTCATGATGGTTGCTCTGCTTTGCTGGCTCAGGGCAGGCTTAGGACTGTGGATGCCATGACAATGGACACTCCAACAGTCCTACCACTGAATTAAGCATGTGTTTGAAATGTGTTAAAATTTTATAAGCATGATTCAAGCGTGTTTAACATATTTAACACATGTTCGAAACATGTTTAAAATATCTGGAAATGATGTTGCAGCTTGCTTCCTCTCCATGAATCGTCCTCCACAAGCTTAGGAGTGGATGAAGGGAGCGGACGCCTCCGAGCAACGATGTCGACGAGGCCAGCGTATGACCACAGTGCGATCGGCCAGGCGGGTGCCCTGCCCGCGTGGCCGAACCTGTGGCCCAGAATCGGGGCGAGGAGAAGAGAGCAGAGGAGAGCAGAAAGTGCGGCAGGGGCGGCGAGAGCGGCGCAGAACGTCGTGTGTGCATCCCCTGCGATCTAGGCGATCTCCTCCAACATTTCACACCCAATGTGCGATCAAGTGGAATGCCCAACGTCAGATCGAAGGGAATGCTCACGCTCGACGTGGAGCAGGGCAACACATCCTCGGATCGATTCCAACCATTTACGCTGCCACAGTCGCAGAACGAGAGACGATTCCGTGCAGCCCGTAAGGTCTGCATCGGTATCTCCACGGTGCTGGGGAAGCCAGCGCGCTCGCGCGAAAATGGGGGGGGTGGAGGAAGGACGGGGGGACGAGGAGAGGAGAGGAGAGGAGAGGAGAGGAGAGGAGAGGAGAGGAGAGGAGA